TTGTCACTGATGGTTATGTTCCAGTAGCAGCAGATGCAACCGATGAACAGAAAAACGCGCAGAAGGAAGTAAGGAAGAAGGATCAGAAAACATTGTTCTTCATTCATCAATGTGTGGATGTAAACGTGTTTGAGAAGATTGCAGACTCTACAACAGCAAAGGCTGCATGGGACACTCTGGTGAGATGTTATGGTGGTGACGCATCAGTGAAGAAGGTGAAGCTTCAGTCCTTGAGAAAGCAATATGAGAATCTCAACATGAAGAATAATGAGAAAGTTTCTGAATACATCTCCAGAGTGATTCTGATCACTAATGAGATGAAGGCATGTGGAGAAACTCTTTCTGAAGAAACAATCATAGAGAAAGTGTTGAGATCCCTTACTCCTCAATTTGATTACATTGTGGTAGCAATAGAACATTCCAAAGATCTGAGCACAATGAGAATTGAAGAGCTGCAGAGCAGTTTAGAAGCGCAAGAGTTGCGTTTGACTAAGAGAACTTCTGAAAGGGAAGTAGAGCAGCAGGCTCTGAAAGCAACTTCTGATAGGAGGTATCAGAAGCAGTCAGAAGCCAAGAGAAGATCCGATGGTGGTCAGAAGTCAGAAACCTCAACCTCTGATAGACAAAAGAATGCTCAGAAGGGAAAAGAGAAGTATGACAAGAAGAAGATCCAGTGTTACTGTTGTAAGAAGTTTGGTCACTTTGCTAGAGATTGTTGGTCAAACAAGGAGAAGAAATCAGAAGAAGCAAATATAGCCAGAGGCTCTGGTGACGAATCTGTGCTGTTGATGGCCTCTGAATCTGATAATGTGGATCTGACAGACTGGTGGTATATGGACACTGGCTGTTCAAATCATCTTACTGGAAACAAGAAATGGCTGGTTGACTTTGACTCTGAAAAGAGAACAAAGATCAGATGTGACGATGACAAATATCTTAATGCAGAAGGTATGGGAAATGTCAGAGTGACTCTGAACAATGGGAAAATAGCATTGATTCAGAATGTGTGGTATGTACCTGGCATCAGAAGCAATCTGATGAGTGTGGGACAATTAATTGAGAAAGGTTTCTCAGTTACCATGAAGGACAATCTTCTGAAGCTGTATGACTGTAATCAGAAGTTGATTATGGAGTCGGAACAGGGAAGGAATAGAACATTCAAGGTGAATGTCAGAACTGCAGACTCAGAGTGTCTTAGTGCAACATGTGCTGAGAAGGAGAGTGAGCTGTGGCACAGAAGATTTGGTCATTTGAATTTCAGAAGCCTAAAACATCTGAATTCAAAGAAATTGGTAAATGGAATTCCTGCAATTAAGAAGCCTGAGAAGTCATGCAAAGTTTGCATGGAAGGAAAACAACCAAGATTGCCATTTGCATCAGAAGTTGCTCCAAGAGCAAAACATACCTTGGGAGTTGTACACTCTGATGTGTGTGGTCCATTTCCAGTAGCATCAATTGGAGGGAATAAGTACTTTGTGTTATTTGTTGATGAATTCACAAGAATGACATGGGTATCCCTTATTAAGTTCAAACACGAGGTGTTTGATGAATTCAAGAAATTCAGAATGAAGGCTGAGAATCAGAGTGGTCAGAAGTTGAAGATTCTTAGAACTGATGGTGGAGGTGAGTATAACTCCAAAGAGTTCCAGAAGTTCTGTGAGGAGAATGGAATTGAGCATGAGGTTACTGCTCCTTATACCCCTCAACATAATGGTCTTGCTGAAAGAAGAAACCGTACTTTGCTTGATATGGTGAGAAGCATGTTAAAGGAGAAGAAGCTTCCTCAGAAGCTCTGGGGAGAAGCTGTTGCTACTGCAACGTATGTACTCAACAGATGTCCTACGAAGAAGTTGAAGGAAATAGTTCCTATGCAGAAGTGGACTGGAGACAAGCAAAGTGTTAGTCATCTGAAGGTATTTGGTTCTGTTTGCTATAAACATGTTCCAGAAGCCAGAAGACAGAAGCTGGATGATAGAAGCAAAGTGATGATTCTGATAGGGTACCACAGTACAGGTGCATATAAGCTCTATTGTCCAGAAACCAATAAAATTGAATTCAGCAGAGATGTGATTGTGAAGGAATCAGAAGTTTGGAATTGGGATAAGTCTCAATCTGATTCTGATGTTAGAACCTTTGAAGAAAGGTCAGAGTTAAGAATTTCTGAAGTTGAAGTAAACCCTGATATTGACTCTGACTCTGATACTGATTCAAACTCTGAAGAAGACTCAGAAGATGAAGGTGACCCAGATGACCCAGACTCTGATGATTCAGACTCTGATGGCAATCCAGATCTTGGTGGCAATTCAGACTCTGGAAATATGCCAGACTCTGAAGATGGTCAAAGCTCTGGAGGTCAATCATCTGAAGCTAGAAACTCTGAAGCTCAAGACTCTGAACAAGTTCAGAGACCACAAAGAATCAGAAGCGTTCCCAGAAGATTTGCAGAATTTGACATGCTGCAAGACACTGAAGTAGACTCTGAAGGAGAAGTTATTCAGTGTGCCATGTTAGTAGACTCTGAACCTATAAGTACAGAGGAGGCTCTTAAGCAGAAGCTCTGGCTGAAGGCCATGAAAGAAGAACTTGATGCTATAGAGAGAAACAAGACTTAGAAGCTGACAGAACTTCCAAAAGACAAGAAAGCCATCAGCGTCAGATGGGTTTTCAAGCAGAAGTTAAAGCCAGATGGCTCAATTGGCAAACATAAAGCAAGGTTGGTAGCCAGAGGATTTCTACAGAAACCTGGGCTGGATTATTCTGAAGTGTTTGCACCTGTAGCAAGACATGAAACAATCAGAATGGTGATTGCAATAGCTGCTAACAGGAATTGACCTCTGATGCATTTAGATGTAAAATCTGCATTTCTGAATGGTCCATTAGAAGAAGAAGTTTACGTGTCACAACCTCCTGGATTTGTGAAAAAGAATCAGGAAGGGATGGTGTACAGATTATACAAAGCTCTATATGGATTGAAACAAGCGCCCAGAGCTTGGAATCAGAAGATTGATTCATTTTTCAAGAAGCAAGGCTTTCAGAAATGTGAGATGGAGTACGGTGTCTATGTTCAGCATACTTCTGAAGGCAATATGACTCTGATATGTTTATATGTTGATGATATACTATTGACTGGAAGTTCTGAACAGGAGATAGCCAAGTTCAAGAAGGTTCTAATGAATGAATTTGAAATGACTGATCTAGGCAAAATGACATACTTTCTAGGGATGGAGTTCAGATATTCTGAGAAAGGTATCATTTTGCATCAGCTCAAGTATGAATTAGAACTTCTGAAGAGATTTGATCTGAAGAATTGTAAGATGGCTGTCACACCTTCTGATACAAATCAGAAACTGGATTCAGACTCTGAAGGAAAGGATGTGGATGCTACAACCTTCAAACAGTTGGTTGGTTCTCTGAGGTATCTGTGCAATACCAGACCTGATATTTGCTACTCAGTTGGGATGGTTAGTAGGTTCATGAGTAAACCTAAGTGGTCCCATTACCAAGCTGCTGTCAGGATTCTGAGGTATATCAAAGGAACTCTGAAGTATGGAGTGTTATTTCCCTCTGGAGGAAATAATGAGTCAGAACTTCTGAGTTATTCAGACTCTGATTGGTGTGGAGACAGAGTTGACAGAAGAAGTACATCTGGGTACTTGTTCAAATTTCTGGGAGGTCCCATTTCTTGGTGTTCCAAGAAGCAACCTGTTGTGGCGTTGTCAACCTGTGAAGCTGAATACATTGCAGGTGCTGTTACTGCATGTCAAGCTGTGTGGATTCTGAATCTGTTGCAGGATCTGAAGATTAAGGTAGACAAACCTCTGAAGTTGATGATTGACAACAAGTCTGCAATCAACCTTGCCAGAAACCCAGTGCTGCATGGGAGAAGCAAGCATATTGAGACCAAGTATCATTTTCTGAGACATCAAGTTCAGAGTGGAGTGTTAGAAGTTGTACACTGCAGCACTCAGAAGCAGTTGGCAGATGTTCTAACGAAAGCTATCAAGACTGATCAATTTCTCAGATTAAGGGATGGAATTGGTGTTACAAGTTTTGATGGAATATGAATTAAGGGATGGTATTAGTAATAATTCATATTTTATTATATTATTTTCTTAAGCCCATAAGTTTGTTAGAGGGTATTTTAGTATTTTATCTTATTCTAGTAACCCTAGTTTTAGCTTATAAATAGGGTGACAATCATTGTAACTCTTAATCCTGTTTCTTCTGCCGTCATTCTCTTTAATAGAATATTTCCCTATTTTCATCATTTATTCTATCTTTGCACCAACAGTTTTTCTCTTAGCACCCTTTCATTCAAAGATAAGCCAAAGGTGACCCTATTTTCAACCTATTCTTGTCACTATCAAAGAAATTTTAGCTGCTTCGAAAGCTTATCTGTAATCTACAACTTGTAGAGTTTAGCTGGTAAATAACTGGTGAATAATGTTCGTCAAATATAATATTTATTGCATAAAAACATTAAGAGGTGGTATTTCTCTGTCATAATTGACGGTTGGTAAAAATATTCACTAGAAAACAATTGTTCTGATGGGGTAAACATTAAACAGGGAAAACAATATTTCATATGACCAAAGTGATTATGAAACTTGTATTCTAATTTAAATGAAACTTTTCAAATGCACGTGCTTGCTGTATTTCTTTCTTCATCATATAAATGACACCAGAAAGACACCAACAGAGTAAATCATTGTGCAAGTTGTGTTAAATTAACCATATATAGGAAAGATTAACCATTACAACTTATTGTATATTGCAGAATGTATTTTCATCAAAAGTAGACGCATTACAAGTAACGTGTATAGGTGGTTATGTACATTGTGCAATTTCAAATGTACAAATTACTTACGAATTATGATCATTATGATCATTGGTATTTAAATGACCTGTGATGCAAATCATCACTCTATCATGTGACTATGTAAGGTGGGACTACCGCAAGCATATGTGTTTCTGTAATGGAATCATATAAATTAGCCGATTTATACAACATAACGACGAAGATAATCCAACCGAGCTGAATGCTTTAGCTTCATGAGAGCCTTGACTTCGTGCTTTCTCACCATTTCCCTAGAGATGTTCAAGTTTGAGGCGATTTCTCCCAAAGTTCTGTCACCCTTACCATCCAGTCCAAATCTCTGCCTGATCACCAAGTTTTCCTTTGGCTTCAGTGAATCCAGCTAGAAAACAACAACAAAAAACTAACATTAGTTGCAGAGTATGACAATGGAAAAATTTAACCAATTTTAGCAACTCATCATACAAATCGAATTATGTTCATTGTTCAAATAATCAAATTGAATAGAATGGCCTGTTGTAACATAGTACTAGTATCAAAAGAGCCTTAGGCTAGAGCCATTACCACATCATCAAGAGCAAGCCTTAGTAGAGCAGGTTGCCTCCTGTTATCACCATCAATACCAGTATCATCAACGATGCCATTGATAAACTCTTCTTGCGTTGTTAGATGTCTTGCATGCAATGAAAGGAAGGGTTTTGATGCCCTCATTACATCACGGTATCTTTCAGGTGATATACGAGCTCTTTCTATTATTTCTTCCTCTGTTGGTGGCTTCTGAAGCTCGAATGTTAACTGCATCTTAGCTCTTCGGATGTCTGCTCTAACCTGCACAAAAAATAAAGATACAAGGTTTGGGGAAATCAATCAACCAAGTTCATTTTTTTATTTCCTATGTTTCTCAAAAGCCATGTTTTCTTTGAATATCCCAGGATGAAATCTTGTATAGTCTACCAATTATTGGTCAAAGAAAATATTGTGGATTGAAAAACAGATTGATTAGGAGTTGAAGAAGTTGGCAATGAAAATATAATAGGCTGCAGTGCTGCTAACATGAATAATACATAACAAATAATTGAAGCATATGCTGCTTAAACAAAAAATATTAGTCAGCATGTGTAAGAGGAAGAACACATACCGATTCAAGTCCAAAAGGAACACGTGTGAAGCTTGAGAGGGTCATGGAACGAATGATAGCATGTCTTATCCAAAACAAACCATAGGTTGAAAGTCGAAATTTCCGGTTTGGCTCAAATCGGTCAACTGCTGTGATAAGTCCCTTAACTCCAGCCTGACAAAGATCTTGAAACCCTTGGCTATTGGCTAAATCTGAAAAATATTTGTTGATCACGAACAAGACAAGCCGGAGATTGTGCTGCAAAAGTTTAATATGACCATCATTTCATAATTATTGATATAACTTACTCAATCCAAAAACTAATTTCACCTCCACCTCAAATTATATTTATAAAACAAAATTAAAATTGGCGAGTATAAAAACTAGGCACTGTAGATGTAAAAATTCTACAAATACATCCACAATCAAATATCTAAATAATTTAACTTATTCATAATACAAATAAAACTGTCTCCATATATATCTACATAGTAAGATTTGATCGGACATATGTGTAAGACTTTCTTACACTATCAATGCACATTCTTTACACTCGTAAGAACAAAAGGATCAAACCATATTTCTAGTACAATCATGGGTGGTGTATCTCATTGAAATTTATGTGATTTTGTGAAGTTGAAATTGTGTCTCAATCTCTCTTCAAAAGCAGTTACTGATTATTTCAAGACCCCACTTACAAAGAGAGAGACATACCATATTTTAAGATTACAAAGTCAACAAAAATTTCAATGCAAGAGGATCTAATTCCATAACCATGTAAACTGAACATCATGGTTTAACTCTGGTTACAACTTTTGGGATGAATACTTATTAAATGATCTTCTCCGTCAAAGTTAGCATGAGATAGGTGTTCACACAAATTTGCCCAAAACGACTCTAGATAGTTTATTGAGGATTTAGTCGGCTTCTGAGAATAGATGATGAAAATGATCGCTACTCAGTCCTAAATCCCTCTTATAAGTTGAGTTGACAACTATCAAAGAAACTCTTTTATGTCACTTAGATCAGAAAGAATATTATAGCCAGATAACTATCAATCATCACAATCAGTAATCTATTCTATAATCATGTCATGATTGTTGAGCCAAAATGATAGCTTGATCCAGAAATCTTGGAGATTACAGTCCCATAATTTTAAGTCCAGAGTCATTAGGTGGAAAGTGCTTGTTTAGTCAGAGGATGGCAAAAAAGCATAGGCGAGTATACAATCCCTCAGACCTTGAGCAATTGCCATGAGGTGAATGGGGCTTGCTATTGGCCCACAATCTTGGAAGGGTGCAGACCGGATGGAATCTAAGCATATTGTATAGCCAATATTTTAAAACTAATTGAAAGCCAGCTGTAAAAGCAACGAACAATTTGAATTACCTTTATCAGCTTGTTTCTTGCAGCCAGACCAACCTTTATTGCTTTCTTTACTTTAGCAGGGCTGATGTTTGTTGCATTACCTATTTCCTCCTCTGTAGGTTCTCTTGCCAGCTCCTTCTGTAAATCTTCTTTCACTTGAAGGAGTGCCTAAAAATTAACAATTATTGCTTAAAAACCAATAGAATAAAATTATGAGTTTTCTGTAACATCAGCGACCATTTATATTGGAAATATTCTCAAAATGGTATCCAAAGCTTTGAATCCCTAGCTAAATGTGACGGTTTTAGGTTTTCAGGAGGTTTTAACTTACGAGTTCAGAGTCCCACTATGCCATCATTAAACAGAATGAAATAAATAAAATAAATGATCATAAGGTCAAGATGTAGATTCTCAACACCCTTTTTTTCATTATATGCTAGAATTTCAGCATAATAGATCGTATGACCTTTGCTTTGTTCATCCTTCCGGTTCAGACCTCAGAGAGTGTTAACATGAAAATCCATGTAGAACAAACTGAACCTTGACTTGCCAGCTTAAGCAATTAGATTGAATGTTTTCTTGCCACTTAGCAATGAAAAGATCAAAATTATTTTAAGAGAATAATCAAAGAAAGCTGCTCACCTTCATTGGTTGCATCAACTTGAATAAAAATGTGTGATCCGTAGAAGGAAGAACTGGAGGTATTTTCATTTTTTTCCAGTCTAGGCTCACCAAATCAGCTAGTACTGCATACTCCCTAAGAAGTTGCTCAAGTTTCCCTATTCTTTTCCTGCCATTTCTTTTTTTCCGAGTTGGAGTGACATCTTCACTATCATTGTCCATCTTTAGTGCAATCCTCTCATCAAGATTCATCCGTTTGGCTTTCGTTTTCTGGTTTCTAACCACCCTACCATTCTCTAACTCCTCTTTACGTGCATCACCAACCTTCTTACTCCTTCGAGAGACTCTTTTGATCTCAATATCTATATAATCTGCATCACATGCATCAGATGTCGGGCTAAGTTTGTATATATTTTCAAGTACAGCAGCTGCTTCATTATAGTCGACATCCAACGAAGACGGAAAAGTTTCCTCAGCTAAGACACCTTTCGCTTTCTTAGGTATTTTTTTGGTTTTCACATGCCTTATCTTGTGCGTCTTGGTCGCTTCATCTTGCGTCAGGATTTTCTCTTTAGTTACAACCAAAGCTATGTCATTCTGTTTATCTCCTTTAAACGCTACCGTTATCGGTCTCTTCAATACCGAATGGTGAGTTGAAAACTTTGTATTCGATCCGAGTGGAGTTCGAGCAGCTGAGCTAGAAACAGTCACAACTCCCATACCAGGTTCACCTAATAAGTATTTATAAAGAAATTCAAATAACAGATTCTCAATACCAGATCCTGCAAACACCACAATGTCATTAAATTACCAAATGACTCTAGAACATAACTAATAGCATCACTAAATAATCAACCACTAAACCCTAAACAATCACTTGATTAACCACTTAATTTAGCTTCTATATTAATACCAAAATAAAAATACATGAACATCAACAAAAATTCAATTGCTTAACAAAACTAGCCACAAATAACATTGATGATGAATCAATAAGATGATTCAACCAAAGAAACAAACTCAAATATATTATCAATAGATTACTTCAAATTACAAGTTTCAAAAACACCATGCAACTAACCCTACTCAATTCAAGTAAGCACAAATTCAAAGAAAAACATTGAAGCAGTGAATAGAAAGTACCTTTGATCACTGAATCGAAGAATCTAGACGAAGAATCTATTGGAAATAATATGAATTTGAGGTTGTGGTATTTAACTCGAATTCGAAAATTACGGTAACCACAATTTTGTGTTAGAAAAATCAACGGTCGAGAACTGGCGTCTGTTAGATCTACGGTGGATAAGCGGAACACATGAGGTTTGATCTGGAATAAGATGCTGACGTAGCTACTTTAAGAAGAAGATAGTGTTGGAGAATTAACGACGTGTCGTTTTTGGAATGGAGGAGGAGATATTTTGTAAAATAAATAAATAAAAATTGTGGATCGTAAATTTTACACGTGGATGATGGAAAATATTTGGTTACTTTATTGAAAGAGGAAATTATATAAGCGGTGTTGTATCAAATACGTAGCACGTTATAAACCGTGATTTTTTGTCCACGTTTACTAGCGTTCATCCATGGCCTTTCTAAAACAAAAGTCTCACTATTAAAATTAGTATTATGTTCATGTTTATGATAAATTCTTTTTATCATAGTTGTTTTGTTTTAATTTTTTTTGGTTGTAAGAAAAATTTTATTTTAATTTTAAATCATGTGCGAAATATAAGTGATTTAGTTATTTTCATTTTGATAAGACATATGAGTCTCATTATTAATGAGCAGTTTTGAGTGAGTAGTATGATAATTGGGTCAAATTTATAGAGAGCAATGTTAATTTTACACCTAAATCTTACACAAATATTATTGTTGATGTTGTTTCGTTTTCTTATACCGTGCGTTTTAAAAGCTGAATTTGTAGCTTCAATGGTATGTTGTTGTTTCCTTGGACCGTGCTATCATTTAAGATGATGATGGGCTCTGTTGATCCACCCCTGTGTTTTTTTGTTTGGTGTGTGTTGGGCTTTTTTTTAAACCCACGTTGAAATGTTTTTCCCACACCCCAGATCACTATGTGCACCTCCTGGTTTTTCTTTATCTTTTTTCTATTTGTTTTTGTTTTTGTTTCTCTTCTTTATAAGTTTTTTAATATCATTTAATTTTAGTTTGTTTTTTTATCATTATCAATTCCATATTGTTTATTCCATTATTTTTCATTTCTATTTTCTTTTTCACTTTGATTTTTCCTTTTTATTTTGGTCGATGAAGTCTAAATATCATAAATATTGGTTATTAAGGTTGTTTAACCTTCATTATTTCAAAGCTGTAGGGAATGATCCTTTGAATCATTTTCTATACTTTGGGATCGTGATAGGTTACCTTCAATTAATCGACGAAAGTTTGTGATTAAGACGAGATCGTTCTCTTTTCTTTTTATGTGGCATGATTCTTTGAGAATGATCTACATATCATTTCTCTATCGTGTTTTAGCACAAACATTGTTATTGATCGGCCTCCTATATGACAGTTAACAACTAAAAACTGAATTTAATTTTTGTTCATTATTCTTGCTTTATCTTTCTGTCTATATATCATTGATTATATATCCTTGTTCATATTATCATTATTCATATTCATATATTGTTCATCTTATTAAAAAAAAACACAAAAACATGATAAAACTATCGAAAATCCTAAAAAAAATTCAAGTGGTGGACTGTAGTTACTATCCTGAGCACTGGAGTTTGAACCTTGTACATAAACCCTTGCAAGGAGATTTTGTATCTACTCTTGTTTATTGTATAGTTTAGGACACCTTGCGCACACACGATTTACTCTTTGGCTACCTGACAATGACCCCATTTATTTCTCGTACTCCCGTGTACTTTACATGTACCCCGCTCCCTTTTGGATGTATGCTCTTTTGTTTTCTTTCTCTTCTTTGATTGTGGTTTTGCTTACTAGGAGCACCCTTAGGGACTAGGATAGACTAAACTATTTTCAAACTAATTCTCAATCCAACGTCGAGCCATCTTTTTCACCTTTGTAAGTCTATCTCTTTTTAAGCATCATCGTCAACCTCATGGTCACCATACACAACATTCATAGCTTACTCCTGAGCTTTCTTACAGTGAGACCTACTCGATCAATTACTTCTAGTTGGTCATTTAGAATACTAGTCCATTTTTCTAGTGCACACAATTAAAATTCAATTCGAGTGTTCTCTTTTACTTTTACTTGTATGTTTTGTCTTGTATGATAAATAAAATCGAAACCCTTAAACGCTCTTGATCTATATCACATCCTATTACCTCTTGTAAATCGAGTGCTTTCGCCTCGCCATCGACCTTACCTTAATACCTATTAGAACACCCCTTCATTAGTTCAAGTCCTTACATCATTTCGTACGCAAAATTCAAACCTCGATCGATATCGAGTATTTTCTTCAAGTCAAACTAAAACACTTAATCATACTTACACAATATTTCTTGAAAGATAAAAAAGGAGGGGTTTAGAGGCTTCGATTCTTCTCCTTAATTGTTTAGGTGTGAATTGCCTTTCTCGTTGTCTAAACAATTAGCATCTCTAAAACACTTCTAACCCGATAAGATTCAAATCATTTTTATAATCACTTAAACGAATAAGGGGTGTAGAGCCTTCTATATCTCTTCCTGAGTGCTTGGGATACGAGGAGCCTTGGTCGATTGTTTCGAGCACTCGTCGTTCATTAAAACATTTAATCCTTAACTCAAATATCTTTTGCAAAGAACATTGTTTAGTCCCTTCTTCTGCGCATATAAAATAGTGCTTCAGCCTCCTCTAGCGAGCAGACAAGCCAACATTTAGTAGTTAGAATACGACCTAAACACTCGTTCATAAAAGACACCAATCAACCGTAGTCTTTCGAACTACGATTGCTCTGACTTCCTCATTGCACTATGAGGGTACATAGGCATAAGATTGCAAGATCCTAGCGAGCTATCTTTTTTTCTTTTTACCTCAAACCTTTTCCCGTAGTCCCACGAACTACAGACACTCTGATTCTTTATTTTTTCAAATAAAAGATACGTAGGCACAAGGACCCAAATCCTTAATGAGCACCCTAATAAAAAACCATCCATTTTCCCCCTTAGAAGTGAATCCTTTACTCATTACTCCATTAGAATAAAACAAACAAACTTAGCTAACATTTCTCGCAAATTGAATTAAGAGGTTCCCGTTGAGTACAACTAGAGGGTGTTAGTACCTTCCTCTTACGTAATCGACTCCCGAACCTAGAATTTGGTTGTGATGACCATTTTCTTATCTCTAAAAGATTTTATCGATATTTTCCTATTCCTTCCTTGGAATAAATAAAGTCCGGTAGCGACTCTGTTCGAACGTTTTTTCCGCGTCCATCGCGAGGATCTTATTTTTCGAGGTACAACAATATATATATAGGAAAGATTAGATTTTTAATCAAATATATTAATTAACTTAAGAGTTAATAATTTGTTTTAAAATTCATTGCAGCTGAATATGTTGTAGATGATTTGAATCGAACTCTTGATCAATTGTTTGGACTCATTTAATTCTACTATTACATATTCGTTGAACTATTTCATTTCCTTTAAAAATAATTTTTATAGTGTTATATATTTTTATTTAAAAACAAATATAAAAATATTTTAAAACAAAAACTTTGATCTTGTCATTTTTTAGAATTCTTGGTCGTTCAAGCGTTCATTTTTGCATTCAAAAGACTTCCTTTCATTTCAACTTCAAAGCATCTTGCATGTCACCTTCGAGTTAGACATATATTTGCATCATTATCTCTACATCACACTCTAAGGTCTCTTTTGAAATCTTCAAATTTTGAGTATAGTAAAAAGGTCCTGAAAATTATCGAAAATTTTGAAGTTTTTGAAATGCTAAAAAAGTACTTCATCCGTTTCACAATGATTTATCTATTTGGAATAAAAGAGTGTCATAAAATAAATGATATATTTCAGTTTGTAATACATCTTTTTCAATTTTATCTTTTAATTAATATTACTTTTATCATTCTCAATACATGATAAGAGTACTTTAATAAAAATATAATGTTATCTCTTTCATTTATTCATTTTTCTTAGTCGGTGTGAAATGATCAACTAGATCACTCATTATGAGACGAATGAAGTATATGTTACATTTTGATCAATCATCATGTAGTGTTGAAGAGTATTATGATTATACACGACTCTCATCAATATTCCACTTCTAAAATTTTATGCATAACTTTTTAAGAGTATGTTTGGATGAAACATTTTAAGGAGGAAAAATAATTTTTTGAAGGAATTTAAAATAATTTAATTTAAATCTGTTATTTGGATAAAAAAATCTAGAAAACTGTTAAAATAATATAAATTTAGGAACAGGGTCGGTCCAACCGCTTAGGGTCTGTTTGGTTCAACGGAGGGGAGGAATTTTAATAAAGGGAAAAGGAGGTGAGGGGGGGTATTTTAATTAAACGTATGTTTGGTTCATAAGAGGGGGAAGGGAGGGAGAAGTTTTATTCAAATATATGTTTGGTTTACCGGGGGAGGGGAGGGGTTTTAAAACTAACTTACCTTTTTACCCTTAAAATATTATAACAATCATTAAATAAATTTTTTTAAAAAAAGTATTCACAAAAAAAAATTATTAATTCATAAAAAACATAGATAATTAAACACAAAATATTTAACATTTAAAAT